AAGTTTGTGACAAGAGTAAAATACTAAATTTTTTATTTAGTGATGGCAATAACCTATGATGAGAACAAATCCATCATTCGTTCTATTCAAAATAAGAAAAAGGAATTCATAAATTTTATTAAATGCCTTCTTATAAGTACAGAACCTGCTCATGAAATATCAGATAAAACTCTAAAATTATAAAAACAAGTAGCCTATGATATGAAGCTCTGCACAAAAGTCCCATCTTTCTCAACAGAAATGAGGTGCTTTAAAAAGCCACACACATGAAGTAACAGATATTTCAGCCACTGAAACCACCACCACAATTAACATTAAGAAAAAATTTGGGGGCGCCTGGGTGGCTCAGTCGATTAAGCACCTGCCTTCAGCTCAGGTCATAATCCTAGGGTCCTGGGATCGAGCCCCGTGTCAGGCTCCTCCTTGCCCAGTGAGGAGACTGCTTCTCCCTCTCCCTCTGCCTGCCACTCCCCCTGCTTGTGCTCTGTTAAATAAATGAATAAAATCTTAAAAAAAAAAAAAAAACTTTAAGGGATGCCTGGATGCCTCAGTCGGTTAAGCATCTGCCTTCAGCTCAGGTCATGATCCCAGCGTCCTGGGATCAAGCCCCACATCAGGTTCTCTGCTCTGTGGGGAACCTGCTTCTCCCTCTCCCTCTGCCTGCCCCTCTGCCTGCTGGTGTGCTCTCTTTCTCTCTGACAAATAATAAATAATCTTAAAATGTGGTATGTACTAAAGTAAGACCATGCTATTACAGAAGGTTTTCTTTCACACTGAAGAAGTTCATAGAAATAAAGGGTTACTAGTCTAGTCCCTATACTGAAAGGTCAAGAAAAACTTTTAGGTCATGGCACCAACACTTCCTGGTCTAATTAGATATGATTTATTCCAAGGGGTTTTGGTAATAGTCTTGGGATTCTCAATGGTCCCTTGGGATCCTCGAGTTAAGATTTTACTGCATGTACAGTAGGTCTTTTGCTTTATCATCTAGTGTTCTCTCTAGAAACATTTTTACCGTATCAACAATAAAAAGTCCTCAGAAACATATAATTTAATGGTAGAAAAATATTTTAAAATAAAGATATATTTTTTCATTTTTTATTGTGGTGAAATATACATAGCAAAAAAAATTACCATATTAACCACTTTAGGTGTACACCTCAGTGGCATTAAGTACATTCATGTTTATAACCACTACCACTGACCATTTCTAGAACCTTTTCATTATCCCAATCAGAAACTCTGCACACATTTAAAAATAACTCCCCTTACTCTTCAGCCCCTGGTAACCTCTATTCTATTTTCTGTTTCTATGAATTTGCCTATTCTAGGTACTGCATATAAATTGAATCATACAGTACTTGTCCTTTTGTGTCTGGCTTATTTTATCTATAATAAGGTTTTCAAGATTCATCCATATTGTAGCATGTATTAGAATTTCATTCCTGTTTTTCCTTTGAGAGAGAGAGAGAGAGAGGAGAAGGGGAGGGGCAGAGGGAGAGAGAATCTTAAGTAGGTTCCATGCCCACCATGCAGAGACCAATGTGGGGCTTGATCTCACAACCCTGAGATCATGACCTGAGCCAAAATCAAAATCGGACACTTAACTGAGCCACCCAGGCATCCCACAATTTCATTCCTTTTTAAGGCTGAATAATAATCCACTGTACATATATACAAGATTTTGTTTATTCTTTCATCTGTTGATGGACATTTGGGTTGTTTCCACCATCCAGCCAGCATGAATAATGATGCTATGAACATCAATGTACAAGAATGTTTGAGTCCCTGCTTTCAATTCTTTTGGGTATATATCCAGAAGTAGAATTGTTGGATTATGTGGTAATTCCATGTTTAACTTTTTGAGAAACCATCAAACTTTCCCACAGTGGCTGTACAATTTTACATTCCCACCAGCAATGTACAAAGGTTCCAATTTCTCATTTTTTTTCCATTTATGGATAATAGCCATCCTAATGAGTATAAAGTGGTATCTCATCATGGTTTGGATTTGCAACTCCCTGATGACTAATGATGAGCATCTTATCATGTGCTGGATTGCATGAAAGATCAGGAAGGTGGCCAAGATGGAATGATAGCAAATGGAACCCACTTAAAACACCAAAACAAACAAAAAACAAAAGAGAGAGAGAGAAAGAGAAAGGAGAGAAGGAAGGAAGAAAAGGAGGGAGGGAGGGAAGGAAGGAAGGGAATAACCCAGACAAAATACATGAAACAATGGTTTTCAAGACACTGAACATCAGGCAAAAACATAATCCCTGAAAGTCAGGAAATAAAAATTGAGTTCTACAATTGCCCTAGCTTACTTTCTTAAAAAAATTTCCAAACCACACAGTAGAAAAGGGGAACTGAGGTGGAACCCATGGGAAGAGACAGAACTGAGAGTCCACAAAAGTAGCTAGAGTTCACAGGATGGAGTAACAGAAAAACCAGAGCTACTTAGAAAACTACAGCAATCCCCCCTCAATTATTCAGCAGAGTTCTGATCAGCATGTGTGATCAGTATACAAGGGGAAGAATCATCTGGAGAACAGCACCCAGTGCTCACACAGGGTCAGGACACGGCAGCTATTCTTGCCAGGCAGACTGGAAAAGTAAGAGCATTAGTAGAATACTCAAAAAGATAATGGGACATAATACCGAACACTTCTCCAGACCCATCTAATAAATCATAAAGCAACATCCAAAGGATGAAACTGTCTCCAAAATAACTGCACCTGAGAATAAAGTCCCAAAATATTTAAAGACATTTTTAAAAATCCAGCACCCAACATAAAATTCACAATGTCTGGTATCTACTCAAAAATTTTCAGGCATGCAGAGAAGCAGAAAAATATAACCTACAATGAAGAGAAATATTAATCAACAGAAACAGACACAGAAATAACACAAAATGGTAGATTTACAGAAAAGCCACTAAAACAACTATTGTAATTATACTCTATATTTTCAAAACATAGAAAAAAATATGAGGTTAAGAATGATAATATAAAAAGATTCATATCAAACTTTAAGAGATGACAAATACACTGGATAGTTTAATAGCAGATTAGACACTGAGAGAAAAAAGATACCAAATTTGAAAAATATAGCAATAGAAACCATTAAAAATGAAAGGGGGGGGTGAACACAGCATCAATGATCCCATGATACAACATGAAGCAGCCTCATTAATATACCTATAATTGTATTCCAAAAGGAAAGGAAAAGGGATGTCAGAAAAAAAATGTTGAAGGCAAAAACCTTTCCAAATGTGATTAAAACTTTAAACCCATTATGTGAAGAAGAGAGTTAACAAAGCTGACCTAAGATGGGTATACTTAGAAAGGCCTGCTTATAATGTTGGTCCTTGCCTACCTCTGGTTATTTAGACATCGGGAGAGTTACCATCATTCCCTAATGGTAAGAGCGGCTCCCTCTGCCTAAACTGTGCAAACAATATGGCTTAGGCTGAATACCTGTTTGCCTTCTTAAAATCTGAAATTCTAAAACATGCAAGGCAGAGGGAGTGCCTACTTTACCAGCCCCCAGTAAAAACTCTGGGCACTGAGTCACCAATGAGCTCCCCTGGCAGGCAACACTTTACAGAGGTTGTCAAAACTCATTGCTAGAGCAATTAAGCATATCCTGTGTGACTCCACTACAATAGGACTCTTAAATATTGCTGATTTTGCTTTGTATTGTTTCACTATAATAAATCATAGCCCTGAGTATGACTGTACACTAAATTCTGAGAGTCCTCCTAGCAAATTACCAAACCTCAGCAAGGGCTTGGACCCAATTCACCAAATATTCAAAAAGCTTGATAAACTCCAAGCAGAATACCACATGTAGGTATAATCATAATCACACTACTTAAAAGAAGTGATAAAGAGAAAATATTAAAAAATCAAGAATGAGGGGGGAGTCTGGGTGGTTCAGACGGCTGAAGAGCTGACTCTTGATTTCAGCTCAGGTCATGATGTCAGGTTCCTGGGATTGAGCTCTGTGCTCAGCACAGAGTCTGCTTGGAATTCTCTCTCTCCCTCTCCTGCCCCTCCCTACACCTCTCTCAAATAAATAAATCTTTTTTAAAAATCAAGAATGAGAAGAGCTTCAGGCTTCTTGACAGCAACTCTGGAACTAGAAGACAACGAAATAATGCCTTCAAAATTGTGAAGAAAAATAATTTCCAACCTAAAATTCTACATAAATTGCCATCCACTTATCAAAGTGTGATAACTGCATCTTCTTTTCCATAAATTATTTTCCATTTATTTTCCATAAATCCTCTCTTGAAAGCTATTAGAAGATGTGCTCAATCATACTGAGAGTGAAAACCAAGAAAGAGGAAAACATGGAATCCAGGATAAAGTTGCTCCACATTGGAGAGAAGTGAAGGGAATTACCAGGAAGATGATGAAGAGAGACCTAAGGGTGGCTACATCCACAAAGCAGAGGATGAGTTCAAATTAGAGCAGCTAGCAGGTTGTGGGAACAAGTTCTCCAAAAAGACAAAACTGCTAGAATGCCTACTTTGCCTGAAAAACCTTAACAGGAGAGCTAAACAATGGCAAAAACTTAGTTTTATTAACAATAAATAAAGTTAGGCAAACAAAAACCCAAAGTAATTAACTCCAAGGAAAATGAAAAGTTGTGAAGGAAAATAATCATAATTAATATTTACCTTTTATGAATATTATGCAATGCTGAATACTAATCTAACCAAACCATGATACATGTGTCCTGAGAGAATGGAGGAATGGGAAAAGTTCAATGTGTAGCAGGTGGAGGGAGTGGGTGAGGAGATGGTTACCCATGTTTAGAGGTGCATTATAAGCCTGTTATTTAGAGACAAGGAGGTAAAGAATGAAAGAATCACTAAGAGTCAAAAGTGACTGTCCTGGAAAAAGGAATTAAAAATGAAACACCAAAAGGCTATGATTAACAAATGTATAACCAGAAAGAAAAATTATGAGACAACTGGTTCTTACCTTCACAAGCTCAGAGAGCCTCTCTTCACTAGTCACAGAATGATTGCTTGAACAAGAAGCACAGTCTGATATTTCCACAACACTCTCACCATCTTCAAATTCATTATACTCACTAGTATCTTCCCTGTCACTATCAATCTCCCAGTCAATAAACTGTAGTTCATCTAAAAAAATACAATTGTAAACAATTTTATATTTCCTTTATATATCCAATTTTAAACAATTTTATATATCCACATATATATATAACAATTTTATATATTCTATATATATAACAGACACAGGATATATACATACACTTTATTCTCAGTAGTTGAGAACATCCATAATGCTGAGTAATTTTTAAAATAGGTATTAAGACTGTGAAAACTCTATTCCTACTCTTATCTCTAGCCATCCTGTTTCTCCTACCCCAAATTTCAGGTAACTACTTTTATTAGTTATTTTTGTATCTTTCTAGAGTTTTTCCAGCATGTTCAAGCAAATAAAATATACTATAATTTTTTCCTCCTTTTTGATACACTTTGATTTTTTTTTCCTTACTTAACAGAGTTTTTCTGTATCAATAACAGGGAGTATCCTTATTCTTTCCTACAACATAGTATTCCACTGCATAGTTGACCCACAGTTTATTTAATCAGTGTCCTTTTTTTTTTAAGATTTTATTTATTTATTTGACAGAGAGAGAGGCAGCAGGAGAGGGAACACAAGCAGGCAGAGTGAGAGAGGAGAAACAGGCTTCCCGCCTAGCAGGGAGCCCAACACAGGGCTTGATCCCAGGACCCCAGGATCATGACCTAAGCCGAAGGCAAATGCTCAATGACTGAGCCACCCAGGTGCCCTTTTAATCAGTCTCCTATTAGCAGACTTCTTAAAGGATTTTCACCTAAAACTTTTTTAATAGATTTTGCATCAGTAAAACAAGTAAATTTAGTTTTTAGTTTACTTTATAAGCACTGTTATCTAGATGTTACTTTTGCAAAATTTAATTTGGAAGTTAAATTATTTTCATATATCAAATAACCAAATTTAATCTATTTTTAATGAAATAAATGTAGTTATTAAGGATAAATTAATCTCTGAGGTATCTATGAGGCATATAACATAAACCACTCCTAGTGTACAAGGCCCAAGTATTCCCTCACAGCTACTTCAGCCACTCAGAGGGCTAGTAAGATATCTTGGCCCGTCTAATAGCAACAATCTTATTTCCAGATAGAAGTAATATTTTTTTTTAAAGATTTTATTTATTCATTTGAGACACAGAGATACAGAGAGAGAGCATGAGCAGGGAGAGGCAGAGGGAGAAGGAGAGAAGCAGGCTCCCTGCTGAGCCAGAAGCCCAATGTGGGGCTCGATACCAGGAACCTGGGATCATGACCTGAGCCGAAGGAAGATGCTTAACCATCTGAGCCACCCAGGCGCCCTGAGATAGAAGTAATATTAAAAATAAAATAACTTACTAGCTTTAATACCTGAAAGGGAATTCAAAATAAAAAACAAAAAAGACAAATATTTAAGCTAAGGGTAAAAGTATGGAATAAAGCAAACAAAAATATGTCTTCTTTTATCTGATACTGTTGTTCCAGAAGATAAAAGTCCACTATAGTGATTATACAGAGATCAGACCAGTCTGAGAGAAGCAGTTACATAATGGCAGTAAAATAACTGCAGGAGCCACTCTTACCATTAGGGAATGGCAGAGAAAAACTACATGTAACAACACATTTACTCATGGAAGCCAGGCAATGGAATACATAAAGAAATTCTCCAGGCTGCTGAAGCATCACAGCAGAAAACCATGGGAAAGGCAGAGTTCTGAGGAATGAAAGTGCCCCCAGAGCTACTATATTTTTGTAGCATTTGTTTATTTATTCCTCATTCATTCAATAAAATCAGTGCCTACTGAGGGCCTACTACACCATCCTAGACACTTACAATACCAAAATAAACAAACACAGGAGATAATACAGAACACTGTTCCTACCCTGGAGAAGCCCACTGATGAATAACATTTATACTGCAGTTGCTGAGTGCTATAAAATGATATACCACAACGCAAACTAATAAGACCTTTCATTCTTCACAATAATTTTATGAAGTAGGCAAGATAATTATTGTTAGACTAAAATTTGCATTTTACAGATGAAGAAGCTGAGTCTCCAAAAAGTTAAGTTTTTTCAAAGTTATGTAAAAGACAAATGGAGGGAGAAAATTTTTTTTAAAGAAAAAAAGATTTTGACAATTTTAATTCAGGGCTCTTCCCTCTCAATCTCAATTCTGGGCCTTAAGACACAGAGACTCTATCCAATACAGCTGGAAGGAGGTCTGGGTATACTGTGTTTAAAACTCACCTGGTAATTCTGTTAAGAGGCCAAATCTGTTAAGCACCAGAACAGTGTTGAAGCACACATGCACTGAAGTTAGACATCCCTGACTATAAATATAAATTGGCACACTTGTTAACTATGTGACGCTGGGCAAGTGATTTGACTTCTGAGTCCCAATTTCCTTCTGTAAAACGAGGGTACTCAGCTCACAGGATGTAGTAGATATAAAAGGAAATAATATACATAATGTCCAGCCAAGTGTCTGGGGTAAAACAAGAAACTGATAAACAGTAATTAAAGGTAAAAAGGAGTGAGGGGAGGAGGAGAGGGAAAAGGAAGAGAGAAGAGAAGAGAAGCCAGCAATTAACACACATGATTAGATACACTCCAAGGGATCATTTACTTGTTACCTAAAAGTCAACAATTCGTTAACTCATTTCAAAGTAATTAGCTCAAAGCACCTTTCCATTCTTAGAATTTTGAAAACTACTATGTCTTTTAATAGAGAAAGACATACAGTTTTTTGTTAATAGCAACTTGAATAATTAACAAAGCATACTATCCACCCATAAAAAAACATAATAACAAAATGTTCTTAGATGTGTAAAGACCAAGAGTTACATAACAATGAATTTCATTTAATATGGTTGAATTAATAAAATAAGCCCTGTGAACTTATGTATAACCTTAAAATACACCTCACCTGTTTATTACTAGAATGTCAATGGGTAGTTACCAAGATGGCATACAAAGTGGCCAAAGGTATATAATCACCGTCCACAGGGTTGTCTGTATAAACTTACCCTTAACCAAGTAACCAACTCACATGAAGCTTATTTTGAAAGCATTAAGACTTTTGAATACTCTAGATGAGCTATATCTTCTAAAATCTGTAAAAGAACATGATTTTCTTAATTCTAAGTCTGTGGTTCTCAACTCAGAATGATTCTGTCCTTCTGCGGATATCTGACAACATCTGGAGATATCCTTAGTTGTCACAACTGGGGCTGGGGGAGGGATGCCTGGTTGGCTCAGTCGGTTAAGCGTCTGCCTTTGGCTCAGGTCATGATCCCAGGGTCCTACAAAGGGCTCCTTGCTCAGTAGGGAACCTGCTTCTCCCTCTCCCTGCCACTCCCCATGCTTTTGTGTGCACGCACATTCTCTCTCTGACAAATAGATGAATGAAATCTTAAAAAAAAAAAAAAAAAAAAAACACACTCAACTGGGGCTAGTGGAGCTACTGTCACTAGTGAACAGAGGCCAGAGATGCTGCTAAAAACCTGATACTGCACAGGAAAGCTCCCCCTCCACACAACAAAGAATTTTCTGGCCCCAAATGGCATTAGTGACAAGGTTGGGAAATCTCACTTTAAACTGTCAAAAACACAATATAAAATGCCATCAGAACAGAAACTTGTGTTATTTTACTATCACACATTTACTATAAGAATATTTAAGGAAAACAGGTCAGCAAGGGGCAATATAGGTATAGCATTATACAGGAGAAACCCTAAGTGGAATCCGAACCAATTCCACTGTTCAAGCTTAAGTTCTTAGCTGTAAAAATAATGCATATTATATTTATCTCTTAGAGTTGTGAGAAATTCTAAATGACAAAATGTTTCTGGGGGGAGGAGCAAGATGGCAGAGGAGTAGAAAACCTGGATTTCCTATGATTCCAGGAATTCAGCTGGATAGGGATCAAACCATTCTGAACACCTACGAACTCAACAGGAGATCGAAGAAAAGAATAGCAACAACTCTCTGAACAGAAAAGCAACCACTTTCTGGAAGGTAGGACGTGGGGAGAAGTGAATCCGAGGCAATATTCAGGAAGACAGATGGCGGGGGAGGGGGCCCCCGTTGGCCGCTTCTGGCAAGTGACAGAGCAGCGAAGCACAAAATGGGAACTTTTAGAAGTCGGCTCCGCTGAGGGACGTCGCTCCAGTGGCTAAGCGGTGGGTGGAACCCTCACGGGAGAGTGTGGATTCAGGACTCTTGGGGTCAAAGAAAGACCGGGGTGCCTGAGTGCGGCAGAGCTCCCAGGTTTCGGAACAGGGAAGCCTGCTGCAGACACAGAACAGAGGAGTGGGCTCTCAGCTCAGGATTGCCTTAAACTGTGATCCAGGGCACAGTTGGGCCACTACTCCTCCAGCAGGGACCCAACAAGTGGCAGATACGGGGTGACTCTCCTTCCTCCCCCGGGAGGAGCGGCGCGGGAGCACACCACAGGGATGGGAGACTCCACACGGGGTCATTTGCCAGAGATATAAACGCTCAGTCACAGGCCGGGTGAGCACGGAGTGCAGCAGGAGCCTGGAGAGACAGGAGTGACTGACGGCTTTTCTCTGGGGGCACAACGAGGAGCAGGGCCCCGAGTTCTCAGCTCCTCCGGGTCGGAGATTGGGAGGCCACCATTTTCACTCTTGACCCCCAAAAGCTGTACGGAAAGCTTCCAGGGAACAAAAGCTCCTGAGAGCAAACCTGAGCAGATTACTTAGCCCAGACCGGCAAGGGTGGGGCAATTCCACCTCGGGCAAAGACATTTGGGAAACATGGCAAAAGACCTCTCTCCCAGAAGATCAGCAGGAACAGCCAGCCAAGACCAAGATTACCGATCAATGAGAACGGAAGAACTCCAGCACTAGGGGAACATTGCACATAGATATCTGGCTTTTCTCCCATGATTCTTTAGTCTTTCAGTTAATTTTTTTTTAACCTTTTTTGTTTTGAATTTCTCCTTTTCCCTTTTTCAACTAACATCTTATCAATCCCTTTTTTAAAAAATATTTTTATTTTTCATTTTGAGTCATATTCTATCCCTTCATAATAAT